TTGATGAAAAGCATCCACCTCCACCACTTTTGTTGCGCCAATCCTCCAAATACGTCGACGAGGTTGTCGCCAACTTAACTCCCATCCAATACGCCACTCTCAATTAAAACTCGAAACTTAAAATAAATATATACTAAAAAGGTACTCGCATAATGCAACGAGACATATTTCAATTTTGATGTTTCATTTTTTTTTGTCTCAGTCGATGTTATAATATAGTTTTACGTGGTTTTGAGAAAAAAACGATAATGTTTTTAAGTTTTGAATAAAACATAAACACGAAATATAAAAAAAATGAAAAAAATATTGATATTAGTACCAAACTAACTATTTAAAATTTCTCATTTTTTTCTTATTTTATTTATTTATTTTTGGTTTAATAATATAATTTTTTTATAAAGATAATAATTAAGTATTTTGTTAGAACTCAATTATTATCATAATTAAATTTTAGGTTTTCTATATTTAAAATGAGATGTTTATTCTCTATTTGATTATGTTTATCTGCAGTTAGTTACACGAATTCAAACATAGAAGTTTAATAAGTTGTACGTATGCATAATTTACTTATAATCTTGAATTTTAAGTAATGTGCATCAATAAACAGTACTTCATGCATAAAAAGTAGTTTTTAAGAGTTTTTCTCAAATGCTTTATAATATAGTATAGATATTTAAATTAACACCTCAATAAATAAAAGTTCAAAAATTATGTTTAATGCAGCAAAATTCGTACAAGGACATATTCATGTGCATGACCGGTCCTGGAATTTCTCATGTCATGGACGAGAAGGTAAAATATGTCTCCACTATTTAAAAACTACAAATGAAACATACTGGTTTTTAAGGGTTTGAAATCTAATCAAACTAGACATTTCATACCTAAGCCAATTTTTATTATTGTTATTGAATGATAATGTATTTTTTTGTAATGAATATCTTAAGATTATATAATATCGTAAGTAGTATCAAGTCAAACTGAACTTTAGAAACTTGCATATAACGATAGTTCTGCTCAAACTAATCGTATATAGTCATATAAAAATATTTAATTTGTCTTAAAACTTAAGAAAACTTAATATTATACGGTCATATTAGAGTTTGAGTCTTGTAGTTGTCACTTTACAATTTTTTTTATTAGTAATAATATTACTGGGCTTAAATTAATCCCCCTTTGGCTTTGATGCCTTGGGCCATCGCCCGGCTCGCCCACCCTTTAGGTACATTCTCATAAATTATTAATTTAATATTACTATATAGTTTTAACAATAAATAAAAACGGACAGAAAAGTGTTCATGTATTAACCGAATTGACTTGCGTTAAAAAAGCCCAAAATATATTTCATTTATTTTTCAACATCTAACTAAAGTTCGACCTTGGGTTGGCTGACGTTCCTAGGAGATGCATAAGTTTGAACTCATTACATTTGGACTGGAGGGGATACTGCGCACTGTGATATAATTTGTAACACCACAAGCCCTAAAGTAAGATTAACCCAATAATCGTTAAAAACTTAATAACACACTACTTAAAGCTTATATGGTGCTAAAAATTACGTTGAACCTGATGAATTACTACGGTGGACCAAATTCGTATGGTGGAAAGACATCCATCAATAATGCAATAAGTTATGTGTACATGGTTTTTCGTCCAAAACTCTGTTTTAACTAAAAACGCGTTAGTCTAGAGAAACACTTCAAATGGGGTCAATACACGTAGGTTCGTAAGGTCTTGAAAAGGCATAACGAGTTTCACATATGTTACTTCATTATGAATTGTCATCTTTCGTATAGTCGATCTTGTTGCGATGATTATACATAGAATAGATCATCGTGGAAGACATTCAACACTTTGGAATAGACCAGAGTGTGGGAATGAAAACGGGTTCCAGTTTTGAAATAACATGTTCATGTGTACGGCTGATATAATTAGCAACACATTAAATCATAATGAAGCTAAAAGTTTGATATATATATATATATATATATATATATATATATACATGTTTATATTTCAGTCTCTAGATTTAAGTTTAAAATGAATAAAGGTAATATTCATTCAATAAGATATCTGACAATCTTCACTTTGATTCTATAAAAATATGATCGAGTTTCATATATTTAAACATCTGGATACACCCTCCTACTACTCTCTCTCTTTCCATCCCATTACTGATTACGTAATTAGCCTCATGAAATCTCTGCTAATATGATTACTGTCTACCGAGACAATAAGCAAAACGAGTAGAAGAAATATCGTACCTAAGATTCATTAAAATGTCAGATTTCAAAACGAAGAGACGATTAAAACATGGGCATTGTTACCTTTCAGTAACAAAAACAGAAAGAAGAATGGGCAAAATCTGTAATTTTATTTCATTCATGAATACAATATAAAAAACCCGCTTTTCAAATTCTTGAAATTCCTATGAAATGTTCCATTCCATTGCCAAATGCAACCAAACAAGATTTTGAACATACAATGAAGTTGTACTCATTTCCATTTTCACTCCATTAGCCCCATAATACTTGCTAAGGGTCAAAAATACCAATGAAATGAAAGTTGTACGGTGTATTAAAATTTAATACGCCTTAAAAAAAATATTTAGGGGTCGTTTATTAAACACTTACCCAGTAAATGATTACAGGGTAATTTTCCTTACCGGATGAAATGACAAGGGTCAAAAATCTTACCTGATAAGAGCAATCAGGGACGGACCCAAATTTTTTTTTTCTAACGGTGGCATCATTTTACTATAAGAAAAATTATAGGGAAAAAATTTCAAAAGTGGCACTGGTTGACTATAAAAAACAAATATACATAATTTTTTTCAATCGGTGACACTATTTGACTAAGAAAATGACACTAACAAGATTTGAATTTGGGTCTGGAGTGGAATAAAAGCCTTGCAAACCAACTCTATCAAATAAAATTTGTTCTCATTGTAGTTTCAAAATACATACGATGGCACACAACAGATTAATACAGTTGCACCTTTCACGAACCTAAATTTTTTTACCTTTCGACGGAGAAATAATACGGTGACACGTGCCACCATAACCACCATGGTAGGTCCGCCCATGAGAGCAATGATAAAGATGAAGAAAATTACTCGGTAAGTGTAGGTAACAACACTTACCCGGGTAAGTGTTTACCGGGTAAATTGTTGCATACGATACCACTTTAATGTACTACAATCTTACCCGATAAAATAAATTATATTATTAAACTTCTAACATTAAACGTTTACCGAGTAAACATTTAGGTAAACGTTCCTTTAATGTTTATAAATTGGATGTTAATAGTTTGAAACTTTAAATCAAGAAGAACTAAAATTTGAAGTTAAAAAAAACCTAAAAAATTAATATAAATATTAAAATTAAAAAAAAAAATCTGATGATAAACAAACTGTTTGTTAGTTAGACAGTACATTGTCTATCCAATCGATAAATGTCAATAATTTTTTTTTTTAATTTTTAATTGATTTCTTTTTCTGGTTGGACATGATTAATCAAACGAGCAATGATTCTTAATTGAAATGACACGTTAAATTAAAGGTCGTATGACAATTCATCTAGGCTTAAAACCCCAATGCAAACGATTTAAGTCGGAAAATATAAAAAATAACTGATTTTACAAAAAATATAAAAAATTTGGATTATATTTTTATAAAAACATTTATTTATTACAGTAGTAATAGAAAAACCGAGCTCTTTGTTTTCCGGTTGGTGAGTAAAACCAGTGTATCAAATACTGATGATTCTTTTCGTTAACAAGTCCTTTAAATAGAGAATATTACCTAAAGATCACATTAATCACGAAAATATTGTAAGATATGTTTGTCATCGTGTAAAGGATGACATATTAGAGATAGGGATGGATATATCAAAATCAGATTAAAATTAAAATATCTCGTAGTCATCTATTTGTAACTCATTAGTACATATTCTTTTCTTCTCCATTTACTGTTGCTCTGTTTCGTTTTTCCTATAACAGAGATTTTATTCTAAAACTACAACAAAATATTGTAAAAGTACAAAAGACAATGAACTTTCGTAATGTTTTACTATAAAGATTTAGTGTTGTTTATATGGTCTTACGAAAATAGTCTGATTTCACGTATTATATATTAACTAGAAGGGTACTCGCGCAATGAGCGAGATACATATTGGTTTTGTATTTCATTTTATTATTTATAACTGTCGATGTTATAGTATGGTTTTATATGATTTTGAAAAAACGATTATGTTTTTATTTTTGAATAAAATATATAAATTTGAAGATATCATACAAATTTGACAAAAATATGTCGATATTAGTATCAAATTAACTATTTAAAATTCTTATTTTTTATGTAATTTTTAAATTCAATTTTTTTATTATAATTTAATGTAGGTTCAATAACGAAGTAATTTATATTTGGTTTAATAATATAATTTTCTTATAAAGATAATAATTAATTATTTTGTTAATACTCGATAATTATCTTAATTACTTTTTAGATTATTTATATTTTAATTTGAGATGTTTATCATGTATTTAATTATGTTTATCCTAAGTTAGTTACACAAATTCAAATATGAAACTTTAATAAGTTGTACTTATGTATAATTACTTGTAATTTTGAATTTTAAGTAATATGTATTAGTATATAGTATTTCATGTATAAAAAATTATTTTTAAAAGTTTTTGTCAAATTGTTTTATAATGTAGTATAGAAAAGAAAGATTTTTATAAATAAAAGCATGAGGTGGGGTAGGTAAATGGTAAATGGTAAATGGTAAATGGTGGGGGGTTGTGGCTTGGTCTTCATCTTTGTGTTTGGTTCCCTTGATTCGTCAGTCGTCACTTCCGCCTACTGCAATCTGGCCTCTGCTCACCTTTATAAATTCGTACCCCCATTTTGAAACTTTCCATCCTCCCACACTCTGTCTTTCTTCTTCCCCACTCCGCCCCCAATTTCTCTGTCAATTCTTGTTTTCACTTCTGCTTTTACTACTATGGATTCTTATGATTTTGTTGACAGTGTTAAAGCGGAGAAGGCGAATGCGCTTGCCAGATACAGACGCTTTACGAATCTCGCGAAATTGTTGCAGTTCATCGAGGTTTTTGTTGCTGTTGTGTTGATTTCCTGGTCGTCGACTCGTCTTCCTTTGGTTTTCAAATTATCTGGCGAGTATCTCGTTGCATTTTCGTCTTACTTGATGAATCAACACGTCGTTTTTCTCGTCGGAAATGTGATTGTCGTTGTTTGTTATGTGCTTTCTCGTCGTTCGGAAGCCGGAAATGAGTCCGGTGGTTCTGGACTCTACTATGGCGACCAAAAGTATAACCATCAGAAAACAAGTGGAGACGCTCCCAAGGACAAACCGGTGGTTGAATCACCGGTTATTAGAGAGGCGAAGGCGACGGAAAGTCGAGACCGGATGATGCGAAATGAGAAGGCAATCATCAGAGCAGAGTCAGAAGTGACGGCTGAAGCGGCAATCAAACAGGCAGCGAAGCAGATAGAGAAATTCCAGAGAACTCAATCCGATAAACTGAAAAGCCAGATTTCGATGAAACCTCGCCGAGAATTACGGCGGTCGGTGACGGAGAAAAGGAACGACGAATTAACCTCGAGATCATTTCAGGCGGTGGACAGACTGAGCAACGAAGAGTTCCGGATTGCCGTTGAGGCCTTCATTTCCAAGCAGCAAAGCTTTCTCAAACAACAGAGTATGGTTGACAATGGCAGTTAAACTTGAAAACTGGAAATAGTAATGAAATTTTTAGCAGTAATTACTACTCCCTCAACTCACGATTGAAAATGGCAGCTAAGTATCATCATTATTACTACTTGTGTAAAGCTTCAGAAATTATGAATTTGGAATAGAAATGAATGATGAATCATAGTTTGACTGGTATGGATTTTGAATTTCGTAAAACCAAACCTAAATTGATTGATTTTGGTACAAAAAGGCATACCAATTATAGTTTGGTATGAATTTTCTTCCCTCTTTAACTCTAACTTTCTGAGTTCAATTGGTCAGGATGAATGGTGGAGTCTAAAAGTAATTCAAGTCATCTCCTCTCATAAAGACTCTATGATTACCTTTTCATTGGGGCATTTGTTGGGATCATCAAATCACAAATGCATAGTAGATATATTCCAAAATAAATATAAAATATTTCAATTTATGTTTTATATATATATATATATATATATACACACATACATAGAGATAAGTTATTATGTTACATTTTACATTTGTACAACCAATACAACTCAATGTCAACCGTCTATTAAATTTGATGAATATGTGATTTCATAAAATTTTTGATAGTTTTATAATACAAAGTATTAATCATAATTAATGAACCTTAGTCATATTTCATAAATATTCAAATCATAATAAATGAACTTTTATCATTTTCATAAATATTTGGCTTCTTTACCTTGGAGCGGTGGCTCTATTAACAATTCTAACGGTGGGCCATTCTTTTTTCTTATTGTTTGACGAGATATTTTCTTTTTAAATATAGCTGAATGACTTTTGAACAACCAACAGATCCAATGACCTTGTAGATCTTCATTTATGGCCCTCTTTTGATTAAAATTGTGCATAGTCATGCTCGTGTTTTCTCTTTGGGCTTAATTTGGTTCTGAATAGCTAGTTGATTTGCTGATGACTTATTGTTAGTGTGGCGTTTGAGATTTACGTTGGTGTTATACAATGTATGGTTTCTTGTTTTGCAAGCATCGAGTTTTTATGAAAACAATATCTTAATATTTTGAAAAACATTTTCTATTTTGATTTACGGTTTATATCTTAAAGGAAATGTAAAATGAACGATATACATTTTTTTTATTAACCTAGACATCCAACCTGCTATGTGAGCCGACTAATCCCAGAGCGACCTCTTGCTTTGTAGATAGCCTGGAGTCACCCCATTTGAACCTTCGTGGCCACAAGAAGATTTTTATTTCTCCTTGGATTTGAACCTGGAACCTCCTGGTACTTTTGACATTTGGAACCAAACTCAAACTAATCAGACACCACCCTTGTGGTTCGATATACGATATTTACGTTATTGATAAACAAAATCAATTTACAAAATTTTATTACGGTCCTATTTTGCATTTTCTATTTTTGAACTTTCAGATTATATGATAAAAGGCTTATTAAACATATTTTTGTTTTGTCGAAGAAATGGACACACGAAGTAAGTAAATAAGAACCACTACGAAATTGAGGACCATTAATCGTGATATTTTGCACTGTGAAATGATACGTGTGAAAATTTGGTGTTTTCTTTAGAATGTGATCATTTTTAATAGGTATTTTTTTTTGTTTCATATAGTAATACAACACTGTAGTTTTACATACATTGTTTTACAGTGTGAAACAACACATACTCAGTGGTTTTCATGCTTCTTGATTTTGTTTTGTGATTATCATTTGATTATGCCTTGTTATAAGACTTAATCATTTGAGAATTCCTAATACTATGAGATCGTGTGAGACTCCGTGTAGTTCATTTAAAAGTGTTGCATTAAGTTTATATGATGTTTTTGAGCGTTATAACATGTCTTTTTATAATATTTTTAAAATAAAATATAGTAATATCTATTTTATATGATATCATTTGAAAATGTGTCTCATAAGATATGGGTTTATAGGACACTTCTCAAAAGTGTCATATAATATAGCTAATACGATACTTTATTTTGAAAGTCCAAAAAACTTGTTAACACGTCCAAAAGCCTCTTATAAATCTATTCTAAACATATTTTCATAGAACACTTCGTTGTTTGATCATATAAAGTGTTTTATGATAATGTTTATACATTTTAGGCGTCTTATAACCCAAATTTGTTGTAGTGTTACAAAACGATTGCCACATTTTTTTAAATAAAACCTTGACCTCATATTCTTCAATATTATTATAAAATTTGGTTTGGAGCTTATCATGGTACACATACAACTTTTTAAAGCTTTATGTTTGAATTTCATGTAACTAACTGGTAACCAACTAACATAAACATTCAAATATAGGATATATGCTGAGTTATACTAATATAACATTATATTTCATAAAACTGATAATCAACCGATGACTTTCTCACTCTTTCGAAACGACACTAACCCTTAAAAATAAAGTTAAGACGAATAGATGATAGAAACATAAAAATATGAATAATGGTTCGACTTCTCAAATTCCTAATCGAGATTGAATCATGTTGCATTACACAAGTAGATTTAGCATATACACATGTGTACATACACGTGTATGTGATGTAAACACACATGTGTACATACACACAGTGGCAGATCTAGGAAATTAATGGGGTGGGGGCACGTTGGATGGGACTTGGGGACAGAAGCATATGACCATATGGGACTGGGGGGAAACCATGTAAGACGAGTGTGAAAATAGAAAATTTAAGCTAGTCAACAAACGTTTTTGGTCTTTGACTAAGGGCTTTTCCCCCGGTCCTTAAGGGCTGGATCCGTCCCTGCATACACATATCTACATACTCTTACTCAGTAAAGCTAATGTAAGAGTAACCACAACGAAGCTCTTTTGGACAACTTTTCAGTAACCTAAGATTCTAAAACAGCTTCCGAACAAAAGACATATCTTTTTTGGTTCAGCTACAAGCTCTGAAAAACCTTTTTTTTTTTTGTGGAAAAAAAGTTCCAAGAAGTTCACTACCGTGGAGATCTCCAAAACAAAAAATCTGTGTTGGAGTTAAACGTAATTTTTACGGCAATTTTAACTTTCGCTTCTTATTTAAAGAAAATATAGAAAATTTGTTCCTGATATTATGAGAGAACTTACTTTTGTCGTAGCTTTTCAAATTTCAACCCTTCCTTTCCGTCCATGACCAAGCATTGACCAGTTCGATAAGATTTTTGATTTAGAGTTATATTTGTACATATATGCCAAACCAAGAAAAAAAAAATCACTGTATCAGATATTATTTAAGACGGTCAGATATAATAAAAAATAACAAAGGAAAGAAGGATTTGAAACACATACGAGCTTGATAACCATTTTATAAATCAATAATATTAATTAATTAACATTAAATTAATTATTCTATCGAATTAGCAATTAAACCTTTTTCTCTAAATATCGTGAAATTAAACCATTCATTATACAGGGACCCACTTTTGTCCATTTTAATAATAAGTAAGAAAAAGAAAATGAAAGCAATTAAATTAATTTCTAAATATACATTTTATTTTTATTTTTGAAACTAATTTTTAAAGTAAACTACGGTTTTCATCCTTGTGGTTTGTTGTTTATAAATATTTTGTCCCTGCTCTTTAAAAGTTGTATTTTTGTTATTGTGGTTTGCAATTCCTTTTGCTTTTCATCCTTAAGACTAACTCTGTTAAAAAGGTCATTTACATTAAGAGTAATTTTGTCTGTTTACCTTTTTTTATTTTTATTAAACAAATTTCTTAGGTACAAACATATACAATCGCAATCGAAGCCACCAATGTAAACCAAAATTGAAACTTTGAATCAATGTAAATCAAAAACCTAAAATCAACATAAAAATTGAGTGAAACCCTAACAATTGCTCATAGAAGATTAGTTTAAGATGTTGATGGTGGTCGACGTCGATGGATGCAACGTCCCCATGATGGCATAGGCACGTGTCCGGTGGTCGGTTGCAAGCCAGATGTGCTAGCTACGTGCCCGTGATCGCTACAGACCGGAGGGGAAGCGTTTATTGCCGTAGGGGAATCAGGAGATGGGAATCCGTGTTGGACAAGATCCATGCCCATCAGTCCTCGAGAGATTGTCCCTATGGTTTCTTCCTCATCATAATCATCAAATCGATCAAACCTCAAGAGCTTCGTACCCTGTGGTTTGGTTCCCGGAGTAAAAAGAGAAGGTCGCCAGAGTGAAGGGAGGGTCAACGCCGACCAACGTGTTACGTGGTGAGAGTAGGGTGAGGAAGGACAGAGTAGCAAGAGGGTTGATCATCGACAATAAAAAAAACAAACACAAATTCGAGAACAAGGTTGAACATCGAGATTGGAGTGTTAGAGTGGTGCAATTTAAGGGCGGAGCAATAGTCGGGGTGGCAGGAAGAAGAGGGGTGAGAGAGGGGAAACCTGGGAAGGTGTTGCGATGGTGGCAGTAGCAAACAGTGGAGATTGGATGAAGGCAACCGGAAGTGGTGGTAATGTTTACTGGAGATGGAGGAGAGAAGGCAAGGGGGAGGCATGTCGCCCGAGGGGGGGAGGGTCTGGTTGTCCTCAGGGTTTTCAATCTCCGATGTCTTTGATATTTAATATATATATATATATATATATATATATTATTCTTTTAAATTATTACTAGAAACTTTTTTAAAATGTAAATAGACAAATTACCCTAACTTAACGACACTTTTCTAACGTTGTTTGCTTCAGGGACGAAAAAGGAAACAAAAAGGAAACCACAATGACCAAAAAATCAATTTTTAAAGATCAGGAACTAAATCGTTATAAACTACAAACCATAAGGACGAAAATCATAATTTACTATAACTTTTAATAGTCCCGTTAAAAAAAAATTATTTTAATTGAGTATCACTTACCTTATTGATAAACATGACAATAACCAAAAATCTTATTATAACAAGGATAAAAAAAATCTTACATGATAAGTAAAAATGATAACTCTTATCTAGTAATCTTAAATTTTAAGTAATATCCATCAATAAACATTACTTTATACATAAACAATAATTTTT